CCTCTTTCTTCTGCAAGTGGCACAGCTGTTTTTTCTCACTTTTCACACAACTTTCCAGCTATCTTGGGTGAGAGAATTTGGTGGCACGTGTTTCTGCAACAAAAGGGAAGACAAAATGAGTTATTGACAAGTCAAAATAACATTTCTTTTGACTTTCTTTACAAAATCTGAGTGGTTGGAATCATGAAGGAGAAGAAAGCGCCTTTCTACCACCTTTTATGCAGAAAAGCAAGGAGAAGCCAGGGGAGGACCATACGTAGCTAGTTTTTCTTCTTGTAACATTTCTTTTTCTCTCTAGCTAGAAGTTCTTGAGGAAGCACTTAGAGACTTAACTTGTAATCATCTTGTACAAGACATAGCAGAAATTTGAGGGATTCACCATTACTTGGCTAAGCTTTCATTTATCTTTCTTGTACTTGTACTTTATGATGTTTTGCATTAATAAATTTGTGAGTTTGATTGTTATATCATTCATGAGTAGTTAAATTCTTTGTCTAGGGAGTAGATGAAACTTATGACTAAATGATATGAATTGAATGTGATTTACACTAGTTGTATCTTGTATTAACTTGTCTATTTGTGCAGTTGTAATTACTTGTTGTTGTTTGATCACCAATAGCATGTTTATAGTTGTTATTAGTCAATGAGAATTGGTAGTAACAATGGAAAAACATGAGTAGAGCTTGAGTTGTATGTTCATGAAAATAGAGATACACTTAAGTGGATTATCTAGCATTTCATAAAGGAAAACAGAGTAGAAGTAGTATTTCACCATGAAAATAGGGAAAACTGGACTGCTCTAGGCCATTTTATCATGAGAATGAGATTTGGTAATATTGGAAATGAATCCCTGGTTTAACGAGAATAATAACAAGAGGTAAATCTATTCATTTGTGTTGTTTATGCCATAAGTGGAATCTATATCCCTAGATTCAAGTCTTTAGTGAAAAATCTCCATTTGTATCTTTCAATTTATTAACTCAGAATTGTAGACAGTAGCAATATTATTTCTCTGTTCAAATTCATTATAAGTCTAAATAATAGAGAAAATAAGGACCTTGTACTTATAGACATTGCTCCTTGTGGGATCGACCTGATATTTGCCCAAAACTACTAAGCGGCCTGTATACTTGCAGTCCAACGGGTAAAATTCTGAAATAAACTTGCATTAATATAAAAATCCCTTCAGTTCCTTGCATCCTTATTTCGGTCATAGACAAGGTCTGCCAATTAAGCCACATAGTGACCTACACGATATTCAAAATGAACTCGTCTTAGGAAGAGAAACTTAGAACTCGTCTTAGGAAGAGAAACTTAGAGAGACTATTATATGGCCTTAGAAAGAGACAAAGCTTGAGGAAGGAAAACGAGAGAATAATAATTAGGAATAGGCCTTAAATTACGTGCATAACTCTCTTCTAATATATAGAAATCACGAGTCTTGAGCTATGGAAATCTCTCTAGCCAAATCAAAAGAAAAGTGTAGGCATCGCTAGCTAAACATAACAAATAGCAATTGTGGCTTAATATATAGAGTATACTTGCAGAAAATACATTTCATTATATAGGTAATAAAACAACATAGCTACGTTAGTTTACCTATAAACTTGTCATGCTTTTTGGTGAGATCAAAGGATGTGTTGGTGTATGGAATCCAGCTCCAATTAGAGATTCCAAAAAAAAGCAAATTGACATCTGTATAATAGATGCTTGACCAATTAATATAATTACTATTTTCAGGAATTAAAAACAATCAAGAAGAAGAGAGATTAACGTGATCACCTTTTAACTATCTGAAAAGACTTTAGACTTTTTACTTTTTAGTGGTAATGATGGGGGCTAAAGTGTACGTTACCTAGTTTGTTTTGAAATGATGGCATGAATAAAAGAAAAAATATAGAAAGAAAACCTTTATTCTAGGAGTACTTGTTGAAGTCCAGCAATCTCCATTTGTGGTAATTCTGAAAGTATTAGTGGAAATAGTAAATACTCTAGTACGGAACTTATTTCAAACAGCACAGCAAAGATAATAAAATGAGCCCCCAGGGCATATGGCGCAGCGGTTTAGGGGTCGGCCTTGAATTGCTGGTTTCCCCACTGACCGGGGTTCGATTCGTGCCCGCTGCGCTATACATACTGACTCGCTCGGGAAAGCTGTATGGGGCTATCGGCTTCCCTCCGATTTGGTGTGCAGGCTCGGGTCCAAAGGGCTCGAGTCGGGGCATGTTCCGGGTTATCAAAAAAAAGATAATAAAATGATAAATCAACTTGTCTATTGAGCCATACATGCTCATTATTGCATGAATGATTCGAAGACAATATCTATTCAATCACTATTTGACATTTCTAATTGTAATCCAGCTCTACTAATTTCAATCACCATCAGTTTCAATAAATTCATAAATGAACTCGCTCTATGCATAAAAATGTTAAAGTCGTGGGGTGAGCATCACTATGCTCACTGAGTAAAACCTGCCGCCCTTGTTGGACCAAGTATGCTGTTAGTGTAAAGATTTTTTTACACAAGTAGATTTAGATCATGCCATAGAATATGATTTCAAATTTGAAATTCAAATTATACAATGTGGCACACATCCAAGGTTGCTAGTGTAAAAAATCACTACACTATCAGTGCATAAAAAGTTAATTCATATATATATATATATATATTTGCAAATATATATTCACATAAGCATATAAATTATATTAAGAGAAACCCCTCTTTGCACATTGATATAACATACAAAGCTCAAATTCTTTTAGAACAATTATGATCTACTAATTTTCAATACAACTATGATCGCAATTTTACTTGTTTCCTGGACCAAGAAATAGATACAATAAGAGATTGTGAACGCCTGACGCATTCTTTTATTTCCCTTCAATATTGGATTCATATATGTTAGGTAAAGATGCAATGTGGATTTTTTCCATTCAACCAGTTGCACATGTACAAGACTAATCAATATCAGGTTCCTTCCTACCTATATTGTCTTTTAGACTAGTTGCGGACCAATTAAATCATTTGCCCTAGATGTATATATTCACATGAATTACCATTAGCATGAAATATCTCGGGAATCTGCTAATCATGCAATATGAACCCAACTAATGTATCTTATAAAGGTCCAAGAGAATTATAATGAATCAGTGCATCTTTTATTAATGATTAAGTTTATATTGTTTGACATACTCTCAACCAGCAATGATTAATATAATAGCATGTCAAAAGAAAAGAAACAGATGTGTATTGTTGACCTATGATGCTTTTAATAAAATTTAGAATATATAAGTTCATAACCTATTATTGCCTGACGAGATTCATTTGTAAAATCATACTAAGGGTCTAAGTTAATTGTGAATGTATAAAACTTGATTATAAAGAACTTAAGATGGTAAAATTGAACTGCTTACTTGGTTGACGGATTTATGTCGTAGTCAGCCATCCTTCCTCTTGTCCTTGTCAAATCTCTCTCCAGGTGCTTTCTCACTCTCTCTCTCGAGAGTTCACTTATGTGGTTTGCTCATTTGTCAGAGAAAAAAAAATGGTTTACTTTTGTGTTTAGAGTATATACACCCTAAGTTTAATTTTCATGGTATCATTTATGGAGAAAAAAAATGCTTGATTGAAAGGGTAATGTTCTAGTTGGTAATTGGTAATGTTATTGAAACAGAATTTAAAATATTCATGATACTAAATGTATTTTAAATCTCACCATATGGATTAAAGAAAATGGACTAGCTATATTCGTTGAATCTTATGATTAGTGATTAGTAATATGGCTAGGTGTAAGAAAATGATTTTTAAGAAAATGGGTTTGAAAATATTCATGATTCCAAATGTATTTGAAATCTTACTATATGAATTAAAGGAAAAGGAATGACCACATTTGTCAAGCATGAATAGAAGGAAACAAGATAATCAATTTAAATTAGTTTGTGGTTACATTCTTTGATTAACTATTATGGTAGGTTATAAAAAGCATGTGTAGAGTTGATTCCTGTGACTAACTAGTATAGTAATCAATTCAATTCATATGCAGTTATGGCAAGAAGACAAATTAGGTAAAATGACATATTTAATAATAATTTTCCCACTAACTATATTACTAGAGAGTACCAATTGGTTAATGGCATTAGAATACTTAATATTAAATCTCCATAAGAAATTAATATGCATCAAAATATGGGATATTACAATTATAAAAAGATTAAAATTATTCTAACTTTAAAGATCAAGTCTTTTTAATTGTTAGAAATGTTGGTGCCATTTCTAACCAACCCACAACTAATATAGACAAAAATATATATAAACAGCCATATACCAATACATCATTGTAATTACTATTGGATGCACCAATGTCAACGGAGACATATATTATCATCCCATCTTTCAAAAAGGGAAGAAGCGTGCTTCAACTATTGCAAGATGAGAGGAGATGTCTATCAACATAAAATCTCAAACCAAAAGTGTGTGCGCGCTCTCATGCATAGCTACTTTGGTGATCATCGAAGCCTTCCCTATAAAAGCAGATAACCAAAAGAAATTGGTTTGTAAACACACAAGAAAATCCTTGGATAAGTGATTAATGCAAACAATGAAGTTGTTGCAATTACAAAACTATTGACATCTCATCCTGATTGTTACTCTTAAGTGCAGAAGACAAAACAGTTCATGGCCTCGTGCTTCATTTGGTGATAATATAGGCTAATAAATTTGTATTGACAACTTCCTAAGCCATTTTATGTGCATTTGAGAAAAATAATACTGCATAGAGATTTAGCACTAAGATTCGTACCCTCATAGGTCAAATCCATTATTAATTAATCCAATCTCAATGAGGCCTCAAATCAGAATGCTGAAACTCCATGACTTCATTTGTGGTCTCAAAATAAACTTTGTACTTTGAATCGTCGACCACTTTATAGATCTGACCAACCCACCACCCTTCATTGTACCAAGCATCAACATCTTCAAGTGGTTTGAATCGCTCTGTTTGCTAGACAATTGGGGGGCATGGCCTTATGCATAAAGCATCAGCTTCTTCTTTGAGACGTTCAATTTCATCATCAGTCTTCAGAGTTTGATATTCCACTAAATACTTTCCATTTCCTATGGGTTTAACAATAGCTGCAGGATACCAAGAACCCATGTACTCTACTTCATCTCTTTTAAACTCTACCTTCATCCCATTGCAAAAACGCGGAGCCAATTCCACTCCACCAATTTGTCCCCTCAACTTTCCAAGCTTGGATTTTAGTAACTTGGACTTCTTCAGCATCTCAAGAATATTCATAGTCAGCATAGATTTAAAAGAATTCATAAATATCTTTACAACTCCACGTGGGTCCAATTCAGGACATTAGAGATTTCAGAAATGATTTACTGAACTAATATATGCTTCCAAAAGAATTACTAGGTAAGAGCATTTAAATCCATACCCTGAAAGCTGTGATCCATTTTTCCCCAGTCCATTCTTGATGAGGCCGCAAATCATAATGACCAAATTTGATTTCCTCATTTGAGGTCCAGAAATAAACTACATACTTTAAGTTTCTAAGAACTTTGCTAACAAGGCCAACCCACCATCCATCATTATACCATGCATCAACTTTTTCAAGCAATTTATAACTGTCAAGCTTTTGAATATGAGGTGGACAAGGCCTGATGTAAGAACTTTTAGCCACATCTAAAAGGGGTTCAGATTCATCATCTGTTCTCAATGTTTGATATTCAACCAAAAACCTGTCATCTGCAATGGGGTAGGCAATGGCTGTAGTATACCAAGAACCATGGTATCCTTGTTCATCACTCTTGACCTCCACCATCATCCCCTTGTTGAACTTCTCCTCTTCTATATTTCTACTACATTTTATCTTGAGCTTCAAGTCTCTAGGCTTTATCCCCATTTTAGCTGAACTCCTCTGTAAATCAACCACCTGCCACCAAAAAACGAGAAGGGCAATGAAATGAACAATGCTTATCTAGAGCAGTATAATATTATCTTCACATGATGCAGCTTAAAAAATGGAAAAGATTTTCTTGGAGAAAATAAGAACAAGATAAGGAAAATTGGTAAGAATCTTACATTAGGAGCTGCAACCCATTTGTCCTTGATCCAATCCTGATGAGGCCTCAATTGGACATGTTCAAAATCAATTTCCTCATTTGTATTCTCGAAAAAAACCTTGTACTTGAAGCCATCTTTAACTTTGGATATATGACCCACCCACCAACCATCATTATTCCAAGCATCCACTAGTGTAAAAAGGTTCAAAATGCTCAACCTGATGAATTTCTGGGGGACAAGGTCTGATGCATGAAATGCCAGCCTCTTCTTTGAAAAATTGAGTCTCATCCTCTATCATGAGTGTTAGGTATTCCACCAGGAGCTTGGCATTTCCCAAAGATCCAAGCATAGTTGCTTCATACCATGATCCCTGGAAACCTTCTTCATCACTTTTGACCTCCACTGACATCCACTTGTGAAACTTTGGGTAAGATGACTTTTGGTGGTACTTCATCCTCAACTTGACACTTTGCGAAAGGGTATCTGAATCGGGTGAGGGTTTCTGCACATCAACAATTCAAAAGCTAAGCAGACAAATAATAAATTGGGAATGCAATTATGCATCTTTATTTATTCTTGTTTCAGGCTTTATGCATATATGGCTAAACATTTGCAAGCAGTAACAACCTTAAGGAGAAAAGTAAATAGAATACAAACATGGAATGAGTTAAATTATCCACATAGCATAGAAATGGCATGAAATTTACATTGAATTTCACTTTGACTGTTCCTCAAAAATCAACGCCATTATTCTCCATTCTATCAATTAAGAACCAAATGTTTATCTTATTAGAGGAAAAAAGGAAAAAAGAAAGAAAGATAGAAAAATGGAAAGGGATAAGTTAGTGAGTGGGGTAGAAATGGAGTACCTGAAGCTCAAGGGATGGTACCCAAAACCCGTCATCCCAATCCCTAACAACCCTAAGTCCCCACTGCTCTACTTCCTCCACAATGGCACTTTTCCCTCTATCATCATTATCATGATCATGAATACTAGTTGTATTAGCAAGAATGGTGACCGCATACTTAGAGTTCTCCATAATGTCCAAAACCTTGACTTTCCTCCAACCCTTGCTATTTCTATCCCCACAAGGGCCTCCACGAATTCTCCAATTCTAAAGAACCTATGCAACTCCTTGGGTGGCGCCGGCCTAACATCACCAAGGTCCACGAATTCTCTCAGCAGAGGGGTCCGGTTATGATCATCATCATCATCCTTATCCTCATCTTGGACTGCAATGGCTATTGTTCTAAGGGTCTTGAACTCCACATAGATGTGGTTCTTCGGTCGGTTGGTGCACCTGGTGGAGGATGGCTGGAGCACTATTCCTGGAAACCAAACGAAAACTCCATCTTTGTTGTAGGAGTAATCTCTTTTGAGGACTTCCACCCTATCTCCCTTGTGAAAAAGTTGGAGCATCTGTGGTGCTCGTTTCATTTTAATTTACTAGCAGATGATTCACAGGAAAAAAGCAAAAATGCAGAGGAAGCTTTGCCCTTGGAGGATTGCTTCCTTCCACTTCTAGAGAGAGAGAGAAAGGGAGGGAGAACCCACCACTAAACTGTGAACTGTGTATCGTAGTCAGTAGTGTAGTACGCTTACGTATTCTTGTTGGTCAGTTTCGTTTGATCTGGATTCAGTTCAAGAATCAATACTACCATTAATCTCCAATCAAAAGCAAAGATTACTATTTACTAGTAATCAAGAGGAAGATCATGGAGTTAATGGGAATTTCAAGCCTTGTCCCAATTCCCCAATGCATTTATCCAACATATAGTTAAAGCAAAAAAGAAACTCCCCATTAATATTGCCATGCCACCTCCTTAGTTACGTAACTATCTGACATTATGAGAGTGGAAAAAAATTGTGAAAATGGCCCATTTTAAGATGCAAACTCTCATATGTAAGCAAGTTTGGACTTTTCTTATCTCTCTTTCTGATTATGTGATGCTTGTTGAAAGATTGAAACTTAACAAAATATAAACACTCACTTGATAGGAATTGTCTTATTTAACTCTAATAGTGACACTACTTAGAAGAATGTGAAAAAGGTTATAAGAATGAAGAAAACAATCACTCTTTTTAAAGTACATGATGCTACATAACATCGAATGTTTTTGTAAAAAAAAAGCTAGCTAATTAAGACAAGAAGCAGGAAAAGGAATCTTTCTTGACAAATAAATTCCATGTCTTGTACCAAAACTTTTGAATCCAATTAAGACATTTCTTACAGACAAAGGTAGATTAAGTAGTTTTAAAATCTCACTTATCCAAAGAAAAGGAAAAGGGACAAAGATGTGGTTTTTAGGACCTCATTGGTACACAACAAACTTTTTTTTGAAAAAAAGGTATATGAGAGCTTAGTGCATTGTAGTGTTAACGGGTAAAATTGCTTAGTGTAATGTAGCGAAAATCAATGTTTTCAGAACCGGACCGGACCGGCCGGTTCGACCGGTTGGACCGCGAACCGGCCATGTCACCGGTCCGGTCTAATGCTAAAGCCGGAAGTTTATGGAGAACCGTTGAAATCCGGACGAACCGTGCGAACCGTTAAGAACCGTGAACCGGCGGTTTTTAAAATTCTTCAACAAAATATCAAGAATGGTGTAGCTATGATTCGAACCTGGATCTCCAAGTTTGGATATGACAATCTTACCGCTAGACTGTAGTTAGGTTTGTTGAGAATTCTACTTGACTAAAAAATATATTAAAACATCAAGTTCTTCTCTTATTTTTTTTTTCAATTTTTTCTTCTTAACCATTTTTAACCCAAATATCCACAACAAGATTTTCTCAAGTTTTCACCATTATTATTATGTTATTATCTTTAGCAGATTGTAAAAAGTTGAAAATTTCAACTTTTCTTGTTTTCCAACATCTTAGTAAGTTTAATTTTTTTTCTTTTCAAGGCTTTTTTTCTATATTATTATCTTTAGTTGATTTTTTTGCATTTTCTTCTTTTTCCCCTCAATTTTCATATGTTTCCCTCATTTTTGTTTTATTTTTATTTGATTAATTAAGGATGAAATTTTTGCAAAAGTAATGCACATCCGTGTAGGAATTGGGTAGGAATTACAAATAATAACATTGGGCTGGTCAAAAATATGGTAGTTGGCACATAATCGAAGCTATTGATAATTGAATTTAAAATAATTAATGGTATAGGATCATTGAATTTAATATAACATGTTAATTAATTTTTTATGTGTTTAACTGTATATTTGTTTTTCAAAAATTTTTAGTTTTTTTTAGTTTGAGCAATTAGATTTATATTTTTATAATAAAATTTTTACTTTTTCAGCTTAAGTTGATGAAATTGTGAAGGTGGTGTGGTTTCTTATCATGCCACTGATAAAAGTTTGCTATTCAAATGGTTTGTCTTAACTTGAACTCTTTTATGGATTTTTTTAAGGGTTGTAAAAGAATTTCAATATTTAATTTATTTATTTTTTGTGTTTTTATTTGTGATAATTGGTGAACATTTGGATTGTATCTATTTATGTTTATAATGAATTTATGAAAACTTGTGGTGAATTATGATATTTTAATTATATTTATCATTCCATGTTTTATGTATAACTTTTAGAAAATTTATTATTATCATAACTTAAATTAAGTTATGTTGGTAAAGTTCAAGTGTAGAATGAAACATGCTTAGTACTTAACACTAAAAAAAAAAAAAAAACAGTGAACCTGTGAACCGGCCGATCGGACCGGTCAAACCGCGAACCGGCCATCTCTCCGGTTCACTGACCGGTCCGAGTTTAAAAACATTGGCGAAAATTGTGGGGATACTTGGTAGATGTTGTACTTGCTAAATAACAATATATATGGTGTTAAGCTTATTTACTCCTAACACTGATAAACTTATATTTTATGAGCAAATCAAAATATGTACCTCGTAAATCAAGAAATAATTCAAACTTGAATTGAAGTATTTGGTATGCAAAATTACATAGAAAATCTTTCTATTGATCAACCAACATAAGTCCACTGAAAATCTTCTACTCCTTACTAGGTGGGAGTGATATTTGGTGTAGCTAAATAAAGATTTAATTGAGTAGAATAAAATGAGAATATCCATTTTTCAAGTTCACTTGTGTGGACTATCAGTTAATTTCCGATTTCCCAAGCAAGGAAGCGAGCAAGTTTCTTTCTTTTGAAACTTTTGAATGTGAACTCAATTAATGATTTCAACAGTTTCACTATCTCTTATGCGCTACTGCAATTCAATGGGATTTACACCTTCTTTCCAATTCAAGACGTATTAATTATAGCCCAAAGTTTGCTTTGTTTTTGTTTTTGTTTTTCTGTCCTTTAACATTAAAGCAGTGGTAACCAATGTTGGTGTATTTTAATAAAATCTTAATTTTTCCTTGACCAAATCTTTACAAGGAGTATAATAATTTATTTGAGAGTTATGGGAATTATAATATTGGGAGTTACAATACATTTTGAATGAAGTTATTATACAATTATTTGAATAGGAGTTACAAATCTATTATTTGGTCAAATGAAGAATTATTGAGTCTTTATAAGCCATTCAAATATGAACCAATTTACAAATTAACTACAATTTAGTGTGAAATAAAATACTGTTATACATTGAACTTGGACATTCAACCTATTTTCTAAAGGTTTTTGTAGCCTATAATATAAATAGTGAAGTCCTTCAGAGAATTTCTGATACACTTCTCTCAACAAAAAAGACCATTCTAAATATTATTTTTCTCTACACTCATTTTTTTCTCTCTCATTCTGATTTTCTTTGGGCAAAGTAAGATATTGGGAAGCTTTTGCTTCTGTTGGTTGTGCAGATCAAAGGGAAGCAACATCCATAGAGTTGGGCTGTTGTATCCCGCAGGCGGCGCTCTAGACCTTCTGTAACGGTTAAAAGAAATTCCGTAGGGGTGCATATCGTCTTAAAGAAAATGTTCTATGTGCCTCAATCGTACCAAACTTTTTAGTAGCTGTCAAATTCAAGGTGGTTAACTTGAAGATTAGAAGTTGCTCGTGTACTATCCTCCAACAATTTTAAGACGACACTCAAATGGAAAGCAACACTAATTGTACTGTCCCTACACCGGTTGAAAGTTCTATAAATCTCAACAAGCCTTTCAAGTTCAATGGCGAACACTTCAAAAGATGGGCTAAAAAAAGTACTTTTCTACCTATGGATGGAAAAAAAATGAGAAGATCTCAATCAATGAGATATATAAAAGATTGCTTGTGAAGAAAAAATCATCAAAAAAGGAAGTTGTTGAATTCCATTACTTGAATTATCTATTATATAATCTTTTTAATGAAGTTTGCAATTTTTGTGAAATTTTTTATCCTATTACCAAAAGTTTTGGAAGGCTTAATAGGAAAATATGGCACCAGAGAAGTAGATCTAAAGGAGTTTGAATTACTGAACAATTACAACTCGTTGCTGCACTAGACAAGTTGCTACCGTCATTTTGGAAGAAATTTTAAAGGCGCCTTCTTAAAAAGTAAAAGTAAACTTCCATTGGGTATGATTAATTGGGTCATTGACTTTAATTGCAGTAGATATATACTCCATTGCATGTTACAAAGTTGTAACAAATAGTGGGGGTTCATAGTAGTTTTCTATGCTAATATGCAAAGAACTTGATCTTTGAATGTGATATGTGTTTAGTTGGATATCATTAAAACACTAAACTAGTGGGGGTTTTTTCTTTGTTAAAAATTAATGCAAAGAATCCGATATACTATTAAAGATTCTCAATGACATGGATTTTCATTGTGAATAACAAAAAAAAAAATGAACGTATAGAACCTCATGTGGTGCCATGTTATTTTCACAACTTGTGCGTATGAATTTTAAAGTTGGAATGAAATGCAATGTTAAATGACATTGAGTATCATGCTTTTGGATTTCTTAATTCTTTTCTTCAGTTTGTGCAGATGGATACACCCTCAAAAGTGTGAATATAATGTGAAGGCACTTGTCGTAAATATTTCATATTCTTGCGAAAATAAATTCTATGAAAATTTCATGGAGACTGCAAAAATGATTCCTAGTAGGTTTATGGACTACTAGCCTACTAGATGAAATTGAATATTATTGTAAAATAAAATAGTTTCTAGTAGGGGTCATGTTGATGATTTCTAGTGAGACTATTGGCTACTAATAAAAAAAATGAAAATATTAGGCCTTCACTTGAAGTGAATATAATTGCTTGTATGGCAATTATGTGAGAAATATTCTCACAAAATATTGGTTTTACCATACATTATTGTGCTACTTGATGAAATAATTTGACTTGAGTGTCAATGAGATCATATTTATGTGATGGTGTTATAAATATAGACCATATGAGATGAAAAGAATATCTCGTGGATCCATTATTGAAAGCCCTAGCTAGTGAACAAAATTTTCAAATATCAAGGGGAATGGGACTTGAGCCTAAAAA